CCATGAGATCTGAGACCCCATCTATCCAACGCCTGCCTGAACTCTAGGTTCCGAGGGATGAGGGCACAAGGAGGGGGAACAGGTGCCAGACAAATCCGGGGGGGCGATTAGCGGGTTGGGCAAAGAAAAAGAACAGAACGTGAGGAAAGAGAGGGGGGGGGGGGGGAAGAAGCTGGAGCAAAAGAGGCAATGGGGATTAGTGTTGAGATCTAATTTTTCTGCACGTCATTTGCAGAGCGGGCTTTATTCTACAGGTGGCCCTTCAAATGTGCTGCGAAAAGAAAATACAACATCCCCCATCCCATTGATCCACGGCAGCGAATAACATCTGGTCCGGATAAAGCGACAACTAAGAGCAAAGAGCTGCCCTCTTAGCTAAGTTGGATCGAGACTCCTGGAAGGGGGCCATGACTCCTCCTTCAGTTGCTGGTAATTATTAGTTCATTCTGATATTTTTCCGGAAGAGCTGATCCTTGGGCCCCGCAATCAATTCATTATCAATCCATCCGCTAATCAGAAATGATCAGGCCGGCGCACCGGCAGTCTGAAGCAGCGCCAGCATCATCCCAGGAGCATGTGGGCGGTGATGAATTGGAAATATCGAATATGAACCATGTTGCAGAGCCCAGCAAGCAAGAGGACCGTTCCCCCCAGCACCTGGATGGCTGGGAGAATGCAATGAGGCGAGGCTAAGGGTGGGGCCCTATCCAGAGAAGACCCGTCGTTGCATGGAACAAACACATTTGAATTGACCACCGCCGTGGTCAAATCAGATCAAAGAGAGCTTCCTATTCGCTGGGTATCATCTGGCCGCACGCAGGCAGCAAACTTTTGCACGCAACTTGTGGTGTGCGCGTCCACTCGATGGAAGATACAAAAATGAGCAAAGCTTCCGTGCCTACTGGGATATAGGAACAGAGAGGGAACAAAGGAACAAATCAAGAATTGTGGGCCCGGATGTTGCAGAGCAAAGAGTGATGATGATGATGATGATGCAGGAGATAAAAGGCGGTTTGTCTGCCAGTTTTTTGTCTGCAGCGGTTGGTTGATTGCCCGGTTTGGGTTTGAATGCGTAATCACGTGCCTTGCCGTATGTTCATAACATTTTAATGTTCCATCAGTCAAATCAGTGAGAAGGACGAGAAGCGTTAGCAATCGGGCAGGAATCCATGTTCAACTACGTTCCATCTATTGTTGATTAAAGGTCCGATTGTCAATAGCAAAAAAAAATCACGTCACGGAGCGGGAGAGTGACTTGGGAGGAAAGCCCATGATTGAAAATAATACATCTCCTCCTTTTTCTATCTGAATAACGTAGGTTATTTTATTTTATTGTTCCAATCCAGATAAACAATCCAATCGTGAAAATATGTAGGTAATATTGACCAAATCATTTCACCCAAGACAGTTCTAGAAGCTGGATATTTTTTACATACATGAACGAGATCTAGAAACAAATCGATATTTATTCAGAAGAAATTACTAAATGAACCAACCCAAACTAATTTTGGATGAAATTAATTAAACAGGTATTAACTTAAACTGATTTTAAGTTAATAAAATACAAACAACGGGTTGGTTTACCGCCCCCTGGAACGGGGGAACGTTGAAACCCGCCTCACTTTGGCATCTTGATGACATAAAACGAACCAGAGCAACATCCCAACATCCCCCCCCCATCCCCCCCATCCCCCCCATCCCCCCATCCCCCCCATCACCAAGGTTCCTTTGCTCACAATAGAATAAACTATCAGTAATCAAGAAAAAATCCAGCACCTGGCTTGCTACTGGAGGCAACCTATCAAACTCCCACCCTCCTATTTGTAAGTGTGAGGAGTCTATTTGTTGACCGTATCCGAAACCCAACAAGCCCCCTTCAAAACTTCCCCTCCCACCCCACCCCTGGCTTGGGCTCCGCTCGGGTGCTGGTGCAGACAGACAGCAGAAAAACGAACGAACGAGCAATTTTCAAGACCTCTCCGCCGCCCTACAAAACTTGATCATTGCACATGGGGTAAATAGAACTACCCTTCCCCCAACACCACGAGGTAAAACGCTTGTAGAAGATGCTGGTCATGATAAGAATGAGATTGACAGTACGGCGCGCCTTCAAGTGGCAGCGCTGTCTGTCCGCTACGGAGTGTAATCTATGATCTACTTCCCAAGAACTACTGATAGGGCGAGAAGCATGGCAATACCATGGACCATTTCATTTTTTAATCACTTTTCACCCACTTGACGCTTTGAGAAATGCTCACGTCCCCCGCTCCCGCAACGCATTTTCTTTTTCAACCTTCAAGAGGGAAGCAACGTCAGAGATCCTGGTGGAGGCAAGTTGAAGTGGCATAGAAAACTCCACATGAAAACTTTCAAGAGCAAATTTCAAAAATGGAATGTAGTGAAATGAGATGAATCGAACAGGCGGGTTCCGTTCCCAGGTCGAGTAATTAGATACAAAGTAGACAGCAGGAATACCAAACATGAAGTTGTGAACACGTAGAAGACACAACAAGCCAATGAAGGATAGCAGATCCAATGAAAGATCCTGGGTAAATGCGCAAACTTGACCTCAACCTGCGTGAAGGGAAAAGTAGGGAAATAGTTGTAAATGGCGGGAGAGGCGGTGATTGGTCAGTGAACGTAGATGGTCGATTTTGGTTGTTTTCTCCTCTGTTTTCTCCTTCCAGGCTTGTACGTCCCGCGAGAGAAATGATATCGTGTTTGGCGTTGTTGACGCCAGGATCCTCCAGTGAGTCGAGTGAGGCTGTAGTTGGCAGAATGCAAGCAATTGAATCCATGGGATAAGGGTAGGAAAAGGAGATAAAAAAAAAAAAACAGAAGAAAAAATTTCAAAACCCACACGCTTTGAAGCTGTTGAACCGCCACTGTTTTGGTTGTAAAAACAGATCGACATCCAAGCAAAGGCTCTCAATGCAAATGAAGAACTTATTATTGGGCAACAAAAATGAAAATTGAAACAGGCGTGGTTTGCGGTTGGGAAATGACAAGGCAGAAGTGGGAAAGAGGAGAATTGGAAATTTTGGAACAGCATTCTTGAGTTATTTCCGCGAGCCATTTTGTGCGTCCGCAAGCAGAGATAATGACGAGAAGTTGAGAAAAGAGAGAAAAAGCAAGGAACATTGCTTTGGCAGCCTCCGCGAGGACGAGCGTGGATGTTGTGATCGTGGCTGGTTCTCGGTTCGACTGGATTGTTGCGTTTTCTTTGTTGCTGCTTGTGGCAGTTCAACTGCTTGAGTCTCCTTTGTTATTTTTTTTATAGTTCTCTTCGGTATACCTGATGCGATTTCCAATAGCTGTTTCGCCAAAGCGGAAACATCCGATCCACCCAAGCAACCGCAGTAAGAGTCCCAAAATCGCTTTTGTTAGTAAACTGAGAAAAGAGAGGTTATTTAATTTTTTTTTTCTTTTTTTGAAAAATTCATTGCCTCGTGGTCCAGTCCGGGAATGCTGTCAGCAAGGGGCGCTGCTAGATTCAAACATAGCCATGCATGGAACACTCACCCATTGCATCTATGCATTTGCAGCTTCCACCCACGCCACTCCAGTCCCCGAAAATAAATAAAAATAAATAAATAAAAAATAAAAAAAAGACTAGACGATGTCCCAGACATCTTCAGCGGCATGGCAGAACTTGCTGCACGCAACACTGGCACTGAGAGAATAATTGCTGATGCTGATGGTATCATCCTTAAAGCTGTCAGCGAAGTCATCCCTTCCTTTCGCCATTGCACCGACAAAGACGCAAATGCTCTCATTCGGCCCCAGAGACTCGATATAGTCATTGACGCGAACGACGGGTGAGTCGAAACTCAGCGTCAACCTTCCGGCAGTTGGGAGGCAAGTGGTCTGTGATTGGGTTCCTGATTACTTTCAGAAGCTTTTCTTGCGAGTTGGTGGAGCGGATGGAGAGGCGGTGGAGCAGTTGGACCATCAGGCCGGCGAAACGTTTGAAGGTTCGTGGGATGCGCACTGTCGGGCTGACTTCGATCAAGACGCCCTTGGCGGTGTGGATGTAGATCTGTAGTTTTCCTGCTTTGTTGATGGGGGAGTCGAGGAGGGTAAGGAGACACTAGAGGGCCGTTTAGAGTCCGGCCCTCGCGGGACAGTTGATAAGCATAAATGCGTATATATATGTATATGAGGAGGTCAGAGGGCGGTATTTCAAACCTGATGAGTGATGTCTGGGCGGGCGTCACTTATGTCCCGGTTCATCTTTCGCATGACACCGATATGCTCATCGCTGTTGAGCAGGGAGTATTTCTCCTCTCTGCCATTCGGGTTTCTGCCTCCAGCGGACGTACGGTATGTTTCCAGACTCGCGTTGGAGAGAACGACGATCAGGCGCTTGGTCTCCTTGTCGGAGGAGGAGATGGGGACATGTTGTTCTGCCACGAGTTGAGGGAGTTTCGGGGGAGGGCAGGATTGGGTTCCTGGGTGGTCAAATGCGACGCTCTTGTTAGTGGCCATTGTGTCACATATCGTGCGCGGGCTTTTTCGTTTATTATATATATATATATATATATATGTATGTATGAAAAAGCCTCCGTGTCTTGGAGAGCAATGAAGCAGGCGAGTGCAATAGAAGCAGGATCAGTTCGCAGAGAAGATACAGAAGATGGTTGAATAACTTTCAGGTTTGGTCATCAACCAGCCCAACCAGCCCAACAGGCAGACATGTCGATTCTCAGATCCCCCCTCTTCGTTGCCCGAGTAGCTCCAAAACAGACACGATAAAGAGAAAGAGATTCACTTACTGGGCCGCTTTCTCTTGCCTTGCATCACATTGGACATGGTGGGAATTGGGAGGGGGGAATTGGAGAGGAAATTTTGCCACCTGTCTGTCTCTCTCTATCTCTGTGTGAGTGAGTGAGTGTGAGTGTGTGTGAGTGAGTGAGTGAGTGAGTGAGTGAGTGAGTGAGTGAGTGAGTGAGTGAGTGAGTGTGTGTGTGTGTGTATGTGTGTGTGTGTGTGTCTGTGATAGAAGGCGAAGTGCAACTACAAAGGAATGAGAGCGACAGGAAGCCGCTGAATCGATCAATTGAAGCAGCAGGGAGAGGGTAAAAAAAATGAACGAGGGAATTGTGTGGAGAAGAAATCTCGGGTATTCCTGAGTACCTTGAATATCAAGCCTGGCAATGAAGTCGAACAAAGCCCAAGGAAACAGAAAACTAAAAACCAACGGATGGTGCGGGATGCGCTATTTAATCAAACGGGGTACTTAGCAATTAGTCGATCAACCTAGTTAGTTAAACTGGTTCATTGAGAAGAAGAAGAAAAAAAAAACCCTTTATCAATTACACTCGCTGGTTGGAACAACAGCTCAATGCAACTCAATCCCCACCCCGGGAATCCATAATAATACTCGGGGAAACAGAGATGCTTCTTCCTTTCATGTTTGGAGGTAACTAACTATGAATATGCTTTCCACTGCAGCAACGACTTTTTCAGCTTGTTCTGTCTGATTCTTCATTTATGTCGCTGTGTGGACATGGTACCGATGGTTGGTTGAAGCTACGGTAGCCCGAGATAACAAATCTTCCCAACCCCCTCCCTGATTCTGATGCCATCGACCATTTGTGCTCTGTCTAGCTATCAATGTGTCCGACAGACTTCAGCTTCAGCTTCGCAGTGCAAGAGGAATGAATCGATAAACTCGGTGGCTTCTTCATTGACGAAACCCCCACACTCCCC